TGTTAATTTCACTATTACTTTTAAAAATTAGTTTAAAACAAATTAAACACTTAAGCTTTAAAAAAATATTTAATGTTTTTTAACTAAAATCATGTTAATTTCACTATTACTTTTAAAAATTAGTTTAAAACAATCGAAACACTTAAACTTTAAAAAACTATTTAAAAAATATTTAAATTTTTTTTAACTAAAATCATGTTAATTTCACTATTACTTTTCGAAATTAGGTTAAAACAATCTAAACACTTACACTTTAAGAAATTAGTTAAGTTTTTTTAACTAAAACCATGTTAATTTCACTATTACTTTTTAAAAATTAGTTTAAGTGTTCAATTTTAAAAACGTCGAAAACTAACCGCGCCTAGGCATCCTGTCCTTAGTTGGTCCGTAAGCTTTGGTGTTCGAAGTTCGGCAGGTTTTCACGTAATATAGATTTAATACTTAAACTCATTTTTAAAAATTAAAAGTGATTTTAACTAAAATTTTAAAAAAATTAACACTCAAACTTAAAAAATAATTTTTTATTAATTAAAACCATGTTAATTTCACTATTACTTTTTAAAAATTAGTTTAAGTGTTCAATTTAAAAAACATCGAAAACTAACAGCGCCTAGGCATCCTCTCCTTAGTTGGTCCGTAAGCTTTGGTGTTCGAAGTTCGACAGGTTTTCACGTAATATATAGATTTAATACTTATACTCATTTTAAAAAATTATCAGTGATTTTAACTAAAATTTAAAACAAATTTAACACTCAAACTTAAAAAAAATATTTTTTAAAAAAATTGAAACCATGTTAATTTCACTATTACTTTTTAAAAGTTAGTTTAAAACAAATTAAACACTTAAACTTTAAACTAAAACCATGTTAATTTCACTATTACTTTTAAAAATTAGTTTAAAACAAATTAAACACTTAAATTTTTTAAAAATATTTAAATTGTTTTAACTAAAACCATGTTAATTTCACTATTACTTTTAAAAATTATTTTAAAACAAATTAAACA